GTCAGATCAAAATTTGCTAAAGGAAAAAGTTGTTCCTTTTAGCACAAAGTATAACGCCCTGTACTCCGAATGCGCCAATTCTGGGACACCCTGTATAAAGAATCCTTCAGAGGAGCAGCTCAGTATCAAATTCCTATTTACCCTGATGAACAGCATTGTCCACGAAATGTTGACATAACATTAAGAATGAATCAAGACGAAACCTATAAATCTGTTAGTACTTTTAAATGCTAAGTTTAGTTTATATCGTCAAATACACATTTGTATAATTTATTTTATTTGTAATAATGTTTTAATAAGTAATAGTAGTAATAATTGTTATACGAGTGATCCTACAAGACACCCAGCGTAACCTACATCTGTAAAGTACCACTATAACTCTTGCTTTATTTGAGAGGTTCCAATGGCAATTTCCTTCTGCTGTCCGACACTGAACCCCCGTTCGCCCTCGTGCCAGACATCAGTCCTTCTCAGACCTGTGCCAGACACTAGCTTTGTTCAGCTTCTGCGCAAGACACAGGTCCTATCTCGGACTAGCGCCAGACATGCCCCGTTTATCCCCGTGTCGGACACCAGGTCCATATCATTCCTCGGAACTCATCTCCACCATCGGATGTTCTAATTTGGCAGGATAACTCTCGGTGGTTTTGCCTTGCCTTACGAGAGGTGACGATCGCTTTCGAGAGACCATATTCCGATTTACGCCACCAAATACCGTAGAGCACAGCGCATTTTAGAGCACCGTAGTTCTGGGTGATTTTGAACCTCGGTTCCTGGATCCTCGTACTACAGTAAGCTGCCACGCAGCGTCCTGCGCCACGATCGCCACTTAATAAGTAATAAGTACGGATAAAATTTTCCGGTTGTTATTAAGATTATTTTATAACTTGTGACTTATTATAATAAGAATTAAATTATTGTAATACAGGTTGTCTGATAATTATTGACACGTTTGTGGATAAGTAGAGCGAACTGAATAGAAAAGTCCTGTACTATATTGCTATTCTTTGCAATTCTTGCTATTCTTACAATTCTTTATTTCTTGCAATTCTTGCAATTCTTTATATAGTTAACGGAAAATTAATTATCTGCAAATCAGTGTGTGTTTGAATTCGACAAAGAACAGTTCAGTCTTTACGATTTCTTGAGCGGTGTGACAATGAGAGGGGCGCTATAAATAACAATAGCTATGCACAAGCGGCACAGTTATCAGCGGTACAGTCGTTATTTACAGAACACTCCTCCCAAATTCTGTTGCGCGTTTAGCGACCATAAACATTGAATTACCGCATGTCGTGAAATCGCGCGAATTCATAGATCTTTATGAATTCATGTGTATTCTCGTTAAATATTGCGAGAATCGCAAAATGATACTTTTTTATGCAGTTTATTCCGTTCTATTTATCCACGATCGTTGTGTCATTAATTATCAGACATTTAGTAACTATAATACAAGTATTATATATGAATTGGAATTGAGAATAGAATATTTGATTCACTATAAGTGACATTTTTTTCAGAATAACTTTTAAAATATTTTAAATAATTTTTACAATTATTTGAAAACTTTAGATAAATATATGTGCAATGTATAATTTATCGGGTGTCCAGTAACTCTTAATTAATATTTTGAGGAGTGAAAGAACATGAAATTTTGAACTAAAAGTTTCTTCCCCAATTTTGGTTTAGATCATCATTCATTTAATATTATTTATTATTCGTTTACTTATTTATTAATATGAAAAATTAGAGTAAAATTTTAAATGGGAGAATGTACAATAAGTGCGAAGAGCCCTATGACATGCTACGCTTTTGCATACTCTTGCTGAGCACAATCTGATTGATCAACTTTATTCGTTAATAACTCTAAATAAAAAATGGTCTTAGTCAAAATTGGGAAAGGAGCTCTTAGTTCAAAATTTCATTCTCTATCACTCTTTAGAATATTGATTAAGAGTTATGGGACTTGTATTGTGGCATATAATGATGCCTATAGGCAAGCAAATTGACACAACCGCGCAAGCAGCCTCGTAAATTTACGCCGTGAGACGCTGATAGGCGGCACGCAAGGTAAAAATTATTTTGTACTTAAGATCGCGATTTATATTAATTATACTATGGGACATGATTTTGCATCACGAGTGTGAATAGCATCATTTCCGACTTATTTTTTTTTGCTGAACACAAATTTGTTGACAAAAGTTGGCTATCACATGTATCAAAGTTGGTATCACAATTTTGAGAACAATGAAAAGGATCAAAAACAACGATTTTATTTTTCTGAAAATTGTAACGCACTTATGACAATCAATGTTTGCCCACGGATTCGTGTTCAGCAGGTAAAAATATGTTGGAAATAACTATTCACACTCGTAATGAAAAAAAATTAAATTTTGTCAAATAGTGTTACATGAGAAAAATATCTATATATTCAAATTGTTGTATCTTGAAAACAAGAAATCATATTGTAATGAACCAAAATGCATTTTAAAGCTAAAAGTTGATGCTTTCATGTAGCATTAACGAAATTAAGTAAAAGAATTAACTACCGGTGCTGCAACGTCTTAAAAACTCTCATCGTTTTTAGCTGCTTTGAAACAGTTTTTCTCAAAATTGTGACGTGGTAGTCAACTTTTACCAATAGATTCATGCTCAACAAGCAAAAATATGTTGAAAATGACTATTCACATTCCCAAAGTAGCAAAATGACGTAAAGACGACAGCAAATGGTCATAAAATAACCAATGTGACTTAAATTGGTCATCAAAGACCTGAAAATGATCGATATGTCACATCCACCAAATATCATTTTTTGATGACATATTAACAGTAAAACAAGACTAATATAAGCCGTCAGTTTTGGATCTCGGGTAGCAAAGTGTAAGTTATTTGTCGTCATTTTGATAAAATGACTACAAAAAGCATTAGCTTACTAGCTGAGAAGATGTCTTTTTGATAGTTATAATATAATCGTTACTTTGAATTAATTACGATAAGGGAGCATTCATATTGGGAGCAAAAAAAGCAGAATGAAAAAAAATAGTATTAATTAGAAATTGGTGCATTGGTAGCTGGTTAACATATTCTACTACCAGTAATTAAGTTTGTTTTCCTGCATTCTGCTATTCCGTTCCTTATTTAAAAGCAACAATCATATTATAACTATTAAAATAGCATTCTTCCTCAAGTAACAAGCTGATGTTATTTGTAGTCATTTTTATTTCTTTTTCTTAATATGAATATTCTCAAAGATATTTTCAAAAAACAATATTTCTTTAAATTTTTTCTTAAATAAAATTATTTGGTTTTAATTAAATAATTAAATCTATATAACAAAATCTGAGCGATCGTAGCGCAGAGAATTGTGCGTTAACTTTTTCTGTGCCAAGGACTTGAATTCAAATCCGATTAAAAACGTCGGATTTTTATTCACTTCCTCGGAAGACAATGGCAAACTACCAAGGGTATAGAGCTTGCCATGAGAACCCTTTTAATTAAGGGTTTAAAGTTCAGATCATTTGGAACCGACGTTAAACTGTAAATCCCGAATATCTGCGTAAATTGTAATTATCGCACCACAGAAATGCAATGAAGGGTTACTACGCTCTAACAAGAATAGGACTAACAATAAGAAGATAGCGGAATTACAGGTGTAATATTTTTGTTTATAAACATGCGGATATTTTAATAGTTTAATTTTAATAGTAGAGTAAAATGTTATATTAATGTTATAAATTATAAAAAAACTTTATTCGGACGATTTCAAAACGTTTTCAAAATAATGTCTTTAACTGGTCTAAAAAAATGATATCTTATAAACATTTATTATTAGTCGTCAACGTCATAGACCAAGAAATGACCACACAAAGACGTCTCTATATCGTCTTTCGACATCAGTCTGCTATTTGGGTCGTGACAAAACACACATCAATTTTTGTTTCATAGTATTATTAAATAAAAGTTAAAATAAAAATTTTAAATAAGATATATCATACAGGTAGTAAATAAGTGGCTGACTTCATCACTGAATGACTTTGACCGGGAATATTAAGTGCACCATGTTGTAAACACATTGCCGATGATTTAATTCCTGATGCTATAGATTTATATATGTTTGCACATCCTTCGATTCCTGGTAAGAGAAATACGTTGCCTCTATCATTGTCCTTTGCAGCAAGTTCTACAAGAACATCTGGAACCAAGTCTGAATCTTTAATTATTCGGATCAGCATGTTTAAACCTTCTAAAATATTATCGCTTTTATTCGTGTCATGCTTTTTTTCTTGCCCAATTGTATCTGTCATTTCTCTAAGTTTAGCGAAAGTAAGATTACGAATATCTTGTCCTCTCAAGAAAATATCAAACTCTCTTTCCAACGTTTGCTTGATGTCTACTGCCATCATCGAATCCATTCCCAATTCGGCTAGTGTCATATTATGCGCTACTGTGTTTGTGTTTTTCAATCCTATTTTAAATTAAAATTGATAGTTATTAAATATTTAAATAAATTTTTGTGTCAATTATAATATTTAATGTACTTTAGTGTATTCATATAATGTAATATATAATATATAATATTCGTGATTTAATATACCATTTTAATTTAACAATGGTTTATTAACAATTGTGTTAATAATATGTGAGAGCCTATAAAAATTTAAGATGATAGGGATGTAACAGACATACAAGTTCTTCTAGGAAGAAAGATTAATTTAGGAAGCTATATATTAATCATTTCAATTGTAAGTATATACAAACATATTTTCTATTCCGAAATGAAGCTATTTGAATGTTGGAAAATTGTTAGTAGAAAATAGATATTATGTAATATTTTTAATTTTACTAGACATTACAAACATACGCTTTATTCTTAACATTAATGGACTTTTCAACTCGTGGGAATGATAAATTGCACGTCTGACAAGGGACCCTCACAAAG